TTGATGCACAGACTGATTTAGGGGTAAGAAGGAGAGAATACATGCTTAATTAAACTGTATTACAATTTCACAAAAAATTTCATAACTCTGAAAGACTTTCGCATGCTGGTCGAGTCCGTCTACCGGACTTTGTGAATCTTGCGACAAAAATATATAATAAGCAAAAGACAGAAACAGTTTAAAATGAAGAGGAATTTGAAATTTAATATGCATAAATCCTATTTAGAAATCTGGAATTTAGAATATGTTTCAACGACCTCAAACAAGGGTATTTACGCCAGATAATGTAAAAATTCTTGATCTGCTTGTCTCCCCGCAAAACTGAAATCCCTTAGCTCAATCTTTTCATTCCTTTCTACCTTATTTGAAATTAATTACGTTCTGCTGCCGCATTCACAGTCCTTTAGCATGTGCTTGTGTTGTGTCAAATGCTGTTTCCATTTATGGCCCATCTTATGCTTCTTATTTCTGCTACTAGAATCCACTTCTCTTTCAAATAATCATGCTTCTCTTTCTTTATTTGCTTTAACAAAGCATTTAAAAGCTTTGTTCTAACGCATGCTTATTTTTCACAGCAACATAAATACCCAGTAACTTTGTAGGCAATAGTTTTGCAGTTTAAAGGCAACTTTATCCCTTGGAACTGGAATCTAATTCTTATCTCTACTTTTAGGTTTACAAGCCTTGCTTGCAGTGGTTGTTGGCAATGGAATTCATACCTCGTTTGTAAACATTGACATGTTGAATGCTCCCGGCTGTGTTGGAATATTCATGCAAGCTGTTTGTGCTATTTCATTGTTGATATGGTTTAGAGAACCTAAAAAAGTTGGATATGACAATGTAGGAAGTTCAAGTAAGTGATTTGAGAAACAGGCTTTTTATGCCTTGCTCTCTATCTCCGTGACTATGAAATGTTTGTAAACATGTTCAGGAATTGCATTCTCCAAATTTTACAACATAGCTGTTGTTCTGGATGTGTGAACATGGCGTCACAAAATTTCTCGTTACAAAATATAGTCATATTTTTATCGATCTTGTTGCTTTGTGAAACTGAAATGCTGGGAACTACAAGCTTTGTGAAACTACAAGAACCTTGAAGAGGAGATATCAATTGTTAGTAGGAAATAAAAAGGTGACTGCTGAAAGTAATGATTATGAAGAATCGAGCGTATTACGATTGAACACTGAAGGGCGTCCGCAACCACCTCCAAAATTTAAGGAAGTAATTGACTAGAAAGATTTTGATGAAGTAAACTTCAAAAGAGATGTTAGACAAGCACCATGCCTCAATTGTAACATTTTTGAAGTAAATGCTAATTTGTGGATGACTAAGCAGTTATATTCAGAGATAGCAAAGAAAAACCTACCAAAGGGAACAGTAAAAGAAGTTCAAGAGCTCTTCCTTGGATGAATAGCTGTATCAGAGAACTCATTAACCAGCGCTATAAATAACTATTAAAGTTGAACAGAACACAAGATCAACATGATAGAAATGAGCACAAGAAACTGAGAAATAAGGTAAGCAGAGAGCTCAAGACTGCAGAAGCAAATTTAGAAAAAGGAAAAGGAAATTAGAAGAAATCTCACAAGGAAGCTCAGATTTCTGGAAGACAATAAGAACAGTCACAAAACTGAGAAATTAAAACTGAAGAGGATAGGTCCCATAAAAATGAATCCGGGATATTAGTGTTTGATGACAAATAGAAAGCAGGAACAATGAATGAGTTTATTGCTACTGTATGTAAAAACCTAGCATCAAATCTAATGCCTGTTTATTTACAGAGTCACGCTAACGATAAATCAACTGAAGATAACGAATGGCATGTTAACAGAAAAGATGATTCAACTGAACCCCATGAAAGTCAGTGAACCTGATGAGATAACAATAAAAGAGTTCAAGATTGCTGCACAAGAACTTAGTTGTAGTATAGCAAATATATGTAGCAAATATAGCAAATATCAGTTGCATTTTTTATGCAGCAGGGTAGCTTCCCCACAATGATTTTTGATGGCATTGAGGGAAGCTTTGATACCCTCATCCTGTGAAATGCTAATCAAGAGTGCGTTGCAAGAAATGAGCGCATGCAGTTCGAGTCGAGGGTTTCCTCACTCCCCAAGCTTAGGCAAATACGTCGGTGATCGGTGAACTTGTGAACACGCTGAGCAAGGACCTAAGCGGGAAAAATTTCCCCTAAAGAAGTGTTTTAGGTTTACGGGAACTAAGGGCCAGTTCCCAGCTTTTCCAATTTTTTCTCCAGGGCAAAATATTTTCTTCAGGGCAAATATGCAGCCATCCCCGTCAATAAAAAGTATGAAGTGAGGCCCCTGAGTAGGTGTACTTTTGTGGATTTTATCAAGGCATTTGATTCTGTAGACCAGGACATACAGGAGAAAAGGATCGTAGCAGGGATAACAGGAGGATTGTACAATTTAATTGATAGCTACTTAGATGGAAGAAAGGCATATGTAGAAAACAATGATGTAACCTCAAAAATGAGTGCAGTAGAGTTTGTTGTCCCACAAGTGTCGTTATTGGGCCCTAGATTATTCGCTATCTACATAAATTATATAGCTGATAGTGTCAACAATGGGGAAGTGCATTTGTATGCAGATGACATCACTGCATACATCATACCAAAATCAGTAGTTGATTGTGCAAACAAGCTGAATCTGCTGGCAAGACAAAAAACAAATTGTGCCAAGAAAATAAGATTACCATTAATAGAAAGAAAGCTGAAGCAATGATAATCAACAGAAAGAGGTTTACGGGGCCCCTATTACCAATATCTATTAGAAATAATATAATTGAATATAAGAGTGTATTTTGACAACAAACTAAACTAGGACACACACATAGATAAGATGTATAAGCAATTCTCACAAAAGTTGTCCATGTTGAAAAAAGTCGAATTCCTGCCAAGAAAAGTGTTGGAGGACATTCATTTTAAAACTGAAATACCAATATACACATATGCAATGACTGTATGGGGCATTGGCACAAGCAGCAAATTCCAGAAAGTTGAGATTCACCATATAAGAGCACCAAATTGATAAAGAACATTCCCAGAACGGTTGATTCAAACAATATTCTAGAGATGGCTAGCTGGAACAACTTCGGTTATACGAAGGTCATAAAAGGAGAAGGAGAAGATGCATTAAAAGGTCATTTCATAATGTTTCCGTACAAAAACATAGACTACAAGTAAAAAGACTAAGATACGATACGATACGTTACGTTACGATACGATACGATACGATACGATACGATACGATACGATACGATACGATACGATACGATACGATAAGATACGATACGATACGATACGATACGATACGATACGATACGATACGATACGATACGATACGATACGATACGATACGATACGATACGATACGATACGATACGATACGATACGATACGATACGATATTCAAAACAAAAATCTGGTTTTCAAAACACTACGACAATAGAAGTGGGATTGTCTGATTTTCATCTAATGATACTAACAGTGTTAAAGAGTGGTTTTGTAAAAAGAGGTCCAAGGATTGTGACATACCGAGACTACAGTAAATTTGATCCTATAAAGTTTCGCAGTGACCTTAGAAGCAATCTAGCTAAGAGCAGCGAAGCATACTCTGAATATGAAAATTTTAATTCTGTAGTCGAAGAAGTTCTGAATAACCATGTACCTCTAAAACAGAAATATTTACGCGCAAATGATGCACCCTTCATGACGAAAACTTTAAGAAAGGCAATTATGCTCCGTTCACAGTTACGTAACAGATTAAACAGGCATAATACTTCTGAAAACTGGAACGCTTTTAAAAAGCAAAGAAATAGGTGTGTGAAAATTCTGCGACAAGCAAAAACATCATATTATGGTAACCTTGATATGAATTCTGTCACTGACAATAAAAAGTTCTGGAAAACTGTAAAACCACTTTTTACTGACAAGGTACAAACCTCTTCAAGTATTACGCTTATCGAAAATGAAAAGTTTATTACGAATGACAGTGAAATAGCTGAGATCCTTAATGAATTTTTTACAAATATCACAAAGACAATTGACATTGCCCCTGGTGAATGCATTCTCAATTCGACAGACCATTTGCTGGATCCTGTTGAAATTGCTGTTGAAAAATATAAACATCATCCCAGCATCCGCAAGATTAAGGATAAGGTAAACCATGGCACATTCTTCGAATTCAAACCAATTACAATGCAGGCAGTCAATGATGAATTATTGAGACTAAATACAAAAAAAGCGTCTACAATTGAAAGTATTCCTCCGCGGATACTGAAAGAAAACGAAGACATTTTTGCACCATTACTGACGACAATTTTCAATAATTCATTGCTCCAGAAACCGTTTCCTGAAGATCTTAAATTAGGAGACATAACTCCACTATTCAAAAGTGACAAAACTACAGAAAAACGAAACTATCGACCTATCACCGTTCTATCCGCATTATCAAAGGTCTTTGAACGGCTTCTATATGCTCAGATGGTCGACTTCGCGGATACGTTCCTAGTTCCCTACTTATGTGGTTTTCGGAAAGGTTTCAACACACAGCATGCGCTGTTGAGATTAATGGATATCTGCAAGAATTCCCTAGATAAAAAAGGGGTGGTTGGTGCCTTGCTAATGGATCTCTCAAAAGCGTTTGATTGCATAGACCATGAGCTATTAATTGCGAAATTAAATGCCTATGGTTTTTGTAAAGATGCTCAATTATTGATTTATAATTACCGGTCCGGTAGAAGACAAAGGGTAAAATTAAATGGTTCATTCAGCACTTGGCGAGAAACCTTTGCAGGTGTACCACAAGGATCAGTCCTTGGGCCTCTTCTCTTTAATTTATATATTAATGATTTATTCTTAATGGTAACTGATACTGCAGTATGTAACTTTGCTGATGATACTACGATTTTTGCAGCTGACTGTCAATTAGATAAAGTTTTAGAACGGCTAGAAACTGATGCTCTTATTTTATCAAAATGGTTTCCAGAAAACTTTATGAAATTGAATGCAGGGAAATGTCATCTTCTTACTTTTGGAACAAATCAAGATGACTTTAAGATCAAAATCGGTAAGGCCATTGTTGAAGAAAGCTCTGAAGAAAAACTGCTAGGGGTGATAATAGATAAAAATCTTAATTTCAAAAGTCACGTCTCAAATTTATGCAAAAGAGCCAGCCAAAACTGCATGCTCTTGCTAGAGTTTCGCCATTTATGGGTTCTGATAAACTGCGTCTCCTAATGAACAGCTTCATAAAAGCTCAGTTTAGTTACTGCCCCCTAATTTGGATGTTCCATGACAGATGTCTGAATGCTAAAGTAAATAAAATCCACGAAAGAGCACTCAGAATTGTTTATAAAGACAGTCATGCTGACTACGAAGCATTGCTGACTTTGGATAATGCAGTATCAATTCACCAACGCAATCTACAGTACTTGATGATAGAAATATACAAAACCAAACATAACCTGAACCCTAGTTTCATGAGTGAGATTTTTGAAACAAGAAATGTACATTATGATTTGCGAACTAAAAATAATCTTTGCATCCCAAAAGCCAGGACAACTTCTTATGGTATAGAAACTGTGAGATATTTAGGTCAAAAACTGTGGCAAACACTACCTCACAGTATAAGAGAGTCCCAATCATTGGCAACATTTAAAAAAGAAATAAGAGCACACCCTATAGAATGCGACTGTAGATTGTGTAAAAAATTTATTGCTGGGTTAGGTTTTATTTAGAACATTATACCTTAAACCTTTTTAATATTGTATCATATATTTTTATTTCATACTAACTCTTATTAGATAGTTGGCCTTAATTAGCTTCTTTATAGCTATCAACCGTTCATTTAGTACGCCAACTTTAAACAAATTATTTATTATTATTATTATATATATATATACGATACGATACGATACGATACGATACGATACGATACGATACGATACGATACGATACGATACGATACGATACGATACGATACGATACGATACGATATGATATGATATGATATGATATGTTCGTTACTTAACATTACATAATCGTTACTAAATTGTTCCTCGCCTCTTTTTGTAGAGAAATTGCAAAAGCCGGACAACTTTGCCCTCTTGATAATCTTATTGACTTACTTTGTCATGTATATGGTATTTTCATCAATAGAAACGTAAGTTGGATAAATCTTTCCTATCTACAAGAACTATATTTGATTGTACTATTTCAGGTGTGTAATTTTCATAGCTTAAAAAGTTCAAACAACCTTCTGACCTTCTATACACACAAGAGTGTCTGAAAATAAACTTTAGTAAAACGAAATGTTTTATTTCTCAACGCCACTCTTGTCATCAGATTCTGGCTAGACTTTTTTTAATACATATATTGGAGCATAGTCATTACTTTTACTTCAATAATTTCAAATCTTTTTATGATCTATATCCTCTTTAGAGCAATATACTATACTTGTTTGAATTAAGTTTATCCATTGCATATATTCAGGCAAGATGTTGATATGCTGTGACTTGCAATGTTCAAAGATATTTTGTTGCTCTCTGAACTTTTCTTAGATTTCATCTAAGGATATGCATAGATAGAAATTTATGATTAGCTGTTTCTGTGTCTAGCATCTGTTTCTTGAAGAATGCTTTTAAGACTCAATGCTAACAATGGGCCTTTGCGAGCGTGGCGACGGTCCAAACAATGGCAGTAATTTTCTACGGACTAACCAAGATTGATTTTAGACAGTCTAAAAATTTATTGTGGGATGCTTACATAGCGCAATGGCTCATTGTTAGCAATGAATCTTTAAAACTTCTAGCTAATGCAATCTCCATAGGTTCACTGCTCCACTAATGAAAAGTGAGCTGGCGCTTACGAAGTCAGAAGCTGTTTTCTATGCTGGCCTGTTGCTGTCTTCCGTTGGACCAATTGCACTTTTTTCGCTATCTTTAATAAGATGCACTTCAAACCGGTTAGTTGCTCCTATTCCGTCAATTTTGAGGCTTTTTGTGCTACCCTGGCACTTTTATTGTTTATAAAAAATATTTGCTCAAAAACTTGAGTAAGTGTCAAATGCTTTCGTTGCAAATCAACCCATTCTAACAAACAAAAACCGCAAATTAAGTCGTTGAGGCAAAACGCAATTATTGGGGGTCAAAACAACAGTTCTACAGCTTAAAACACAAACAAATTCAACTTATATAAACAGAAGTTTGCCTTGATTGATGTTACGTAGACGAGTTTGCACAAAATGATAACCAAACATTTACGACCTATTAGACAAAGTGGGTTTTTCGTTTAACCAGAAAATCGCTTATAGGATTCTTTATCTAGATTTTGTATGTTGCAGCCAATAGTTCAATCGATCTTCTGATGGAATACTTTGTAATAACGTCAGTGGACTAAATTTGACTGCTTATTAAGTGCAATATCGATAAAATATTACTGCTATTATACAATATTGATACAACATTTATAGACTACATTAAGGAAAAAAGACATTTAAATACAGATCGGCGCTACAGTGGAACTTACTGCCTGAAGGTGTAAAGAGTATAAAAACTACGAAAATTTCAAAAAGACCCTCTAAAAACATTCTAAAGAAAGAAAATGCAGCAAGCTTCAATAGCTCAACAACAATCAGAAAGAAAGATTTAGATAATTTTATATACTACTAGATATCTTTTTAACTACAGCAAATTCAACATTATTATTTACGTTTTAACAAGTTGTAAATATTATTTGTTCTTAGACTATACACCAAAAAGGCCTATCATCTCTTTTAAATCCATTGCAATAATCTTAAAAATCAGTTCAAACAATGAGTTGTTTTTTTCTTAAGAATTCCTTGGATTTCCTGTCATTTCATCAACAAAAATGTTTCCTTCAAACTGACACCTTTTTTTCTACCTAGGCTTGCCGAGAGAAGCATAATGTTGCTAGGGTGCACAATTTCATTGCTAGGGTTTATCATATTTTTACCCTGGGGAAACACACATCCAACTCTACAAACAACAGGTGAGCTATCTCACGATCTTCTAATCTAATGGTCTATTGTTTGTACGTGGTTATGCAGATTATACAAATGAACTACTGGTTATTCAGGTTTTCATCGTTTATATCTATATTTGATTGTCTTGTCTTGAAAAAACGCTATCTTTTTCAGAACAAACAAAACTTGGGAATGTGATGAAAACAATATGGAAAGCAGGGTGTCCGCCAAAGTTCCAGTGGTGCAAAAATGCCCCTAAAATACACCTCGCGCAATTCGTAGTTGCAGAATTGATAATTATTGTTGGCTTCACGTTGTCATTTCTAATAATAAATGGGTTGTATTCGAAAGTTATTGGCCCAAGAAAGCAGGTATGACTTAACAAATCTTTGTAATACCACCATATTATAAAGCGAACTTAATAAAATAGAATATTGAATAGAG